GCCCGAGAACTAGCTTTGCTGTGCATGATGAGCCTGTATGGCTCTCGCATTCGCTACTGATGTACTTTTAGTATGTGCGGCGAAGTCTTATTATCTATTAGTCATTCTGAGACAAGGTTTTAGGGCTCGATATTTCTTATGGGAGCCTCCAGCCCACATTATTTACACCTGGAGGATACCTCCCTCCCCACTGATGCAACCTCGGGGGCATTGAGAGTGAAATGTGGTGACCTACCTTCTCTAATCCCTTGAATCCTTTGTACCTAATCGGAAACAGATGCTTTCATTCCAGACTGTAATGCTCGCCTCAAATAGATTTCCAGCTTCAAGGATTTGATTTATTTGAAGGGACATAAACAATACGTATTTCAGCGAATTGTTCTGGACAAATTTTCTTTCTTTATTTTTATATATATTTGCCAAGTGACACAACTATCGATGAAGCATCTCTTTAAGACGAAAGTGTTATATAAGGCTGGAAAAGGACAGCAAGACAGCTGGAGTATGTTTATCAAACTCCTCGATCATTATCTGTTGACCAGTATAGAAAATTACATGTTTATTGAGAGATTTGTGTGTCCTCAAGTTTCTTTGCATTTAATTTACATTTTGTTGGTGCATCTAAGCAGTTTATCCTAATATGAGTGTACCTTTGCTAACATGGTAGTTTTCTTATATCTTGTGCCATAAATCCGTCCCAAGTTAAGGATATTCATGATTGTCCTTATTCGGCCTTGCAGGAGTGATACTGTGGGCCGTACAAGGGCGCTCGGTCTATGTAATCAATATGTAACTGTGTCCATGGCAAATCGCACAGGAGATTTCAGAAACAAGCATTTGCTAGTCTCGAGCCAAGCAAAGAAGTGCATTAGTAGGTTCTAATTTTAATTCTCATCTTGCATTTAAATATTTTCCTGTCGGCCGATCAGTGACCAGACCAGACCCAGGTACTGTACCTACGTGCACAGGACCTGTAGGCAGAGGGTGGCTTGAGAGACATTCTTCTGTGCCTGGACACACCGACAAAGAGTTGCACAAATACGTTTTTATAGTGTGAACTCCACCTGAGCGATGCATCGAAGATATGCCGCTATTGAGTGGGGCGGGGCGGTCTCGCGCCAGACCAAGGGGCAGAGGGCGGGCGTGGGGGGCATCGCGTGGGAGGAAAAAACGCATATTTTGTGCATTTACTTATGTGTATGCTTATAAATATACTAACTTTATTACACACACACACACATATACATGTGTGTGTGAGAGAGAGTGCGCGCGTCAGAGTATTTGTTTGTATGTTTGTGTTTGTTTGTGAATGTGTGTATGTGTGTGTGCGTGTGCGTGTGTGTGTGTGTGTGTGTGCGTGTGGTGTGTGTGCGTGTGTGTGGTGTGTGTGTGTGTGTGTGTGTGTGTGTGTGTGTGTGTGATATAAACACTTTGCTGTGGATGTAAACTTTTCATTTTCAGATGATTTGTTTCTTTTCTGATATAATTGGTAAATAATGCGACGTAATACAGTTATACCCACGAGACATTTTTATAAGATACACACTAGAACAGTCTATGACATTCAGTATCTATTTTCTTGACGAATCTATCTTTCTTATATAGATTTCTAAGTTCATTATTCTTGCCTGCCTCACATCCTGACAGTGCCTCAGTTTTGCATATCTTTCCGCCATTGAGCTCAGAGCTTCCATATTTATCGGACGGTTTGTATCACTGCATGGCGAGTGATGTATGCCTAGGAATTCCCTTCTCTGAAAATCTCGGCCGCTCATGAATGTGCACCGACCCAGAAGGCCGTGAAGCCGGGTCGAATGATCAGAGTAACGTTATTGCCTGGAGAAGCACCCGTATTTAGAACTGGCTTTTGAAGAGATAGAGGTTCCTGCGTTCAGACAATGCATTGTCAGCAGGCGAGTAAGCGGAAAGAGATCCAATCAGTTGTTTGAGGTGGCACATATGACGGCAGCTAAAGGCCAGAGAAAACATTGGAACCCATGAGAAAAGGAATACCTGGCTGGCCAAAATATATAGAACACCTCGGTATTTGGACCAGAATAATGCATACAGGTTTTCGATCCTTTTTCCGAGAGAACTGACTATTCTTTGAGCCCATTGATTCATGGTTAACATTCAATCTCATACAGAGGGATGAGTTTAGAAATTATACGATCAACATCGGATGGCGAATAAATGAACGAAATATGGAGTCATACTCGCAAGGTATGAGTCTTATTTACTTATTTCTATCTTGTTTTTCATCTCCCAGCGGGATTTATGATGCCATGGCTTGCATCGACAGTAGGGGACATGAAATTAGAAATTCGATGATGTTTCTCTCGTAATGAACGGTGGCCATGAGCATTCATTTTTCGGCTTGACCGTTCTTGAGTTGGCTTAGTCATTGCCCTGAGTAAGTTGGGATAAAAATATAGATAATATTACCAAGAATAAGGTTACAGTATTTGTGAATTATTTTAGCAGTGCATCGCGAAGTTGGTAGTGAAGATTATCTTAAAAAAAAGACCAGCATAAAAACTAACAGTTTTTGTTTTCCCAAAATAACATTTCTGTGATTTCCAATTGACTCGCTGCACACTCAAGCCACCAGGTGGAAGCTACAAAGAGTTAAGCGGCGGCCTCTGGCTGTTCGTGCCGTCCCCGTGGCGTTAATTCGTTTGCAGATGTTCGCTAAAGCATATTCCGCAATTCCCTCTTCCCTTCAGTGCTTATATAAGTTTGCAACAAATTTCTCTAGTACTACAAGGGATCTCTTCTACCCATATCCCATATCAGAATTCCATCCGAATATTAAACTTCCTTAAATGACTAAGGGGCTTGTGTTCGGTCATATACTTTACATTATTTAAGAAAATTCCTCCTCGACTGGTACCGTGTCGTATTTTGAACTTCGAAGGAAGCCGGAAGCGGCGGTATTATCGGTGCCAACTTTGCGTAGTGTTTCTACAGGTGGAAGTGACCGATGAAGCGAACCGAACCGTTGTTCTCCCACCATGAAAATCTCTCTCTCTCTCTCTCTCTCTCTCTCTCTCTCTCTCTCTCTCTCTCTCTCTCTCTCTCTCTCTCTCTCTCTCTCTCTCTCTCTTCCTCTCTCAATTTCCTTTCTTCCTTCCCTCCCTCCCTTATAGTCCCTCTCTGTCCCCCCCCCCTCTTTCTTCCTAAGCACATTCTTCTCAGTGGACAATAGAAAGATATGTAATCATCTTCCATTAAGGAGAGAGTTTCCAGTGGAAGACGCTGTTGGGAGTATCTTGATGAGGGCTGCCTGGCAGTCAAGTAGCCTGGGCTCTTGTCAGATGCATCAGCGCAGGCTACATGCCCTTGTCTTCTGGTCAGGGCGCGGCTTCTACGCACTACAGCCTGCCTTATCGACTCCTGCAGGGGACGGCGCATGAGATGGAAAGAACGGAACCATCACCCGTTAACCGCGTTGAGTGGTTGGCCAGAAAATATTCAACTACATATAAGCTGTTAGACTAGTGACCGTCGTATAGTTAAAACTAAAGAAATGAAAAAAGAATATTTTATATGTGTATATATTTATATATGTATATGCACGCGCGCGCACACACACACACATACAGACACACACACACACACACACACACACACACACACACACACACACACACACACACACACACACACACACACACACACACACACACACAACACATACTGTACACACACATGTACACACACACACACGCACGCACATGTACACACACATGTACACGCACACACACACACTTACATGTGTATATATAATGTGTATGTGTGTGTGTGTTTGTAGATGTGTATATATTCTTCATTTTCTTCTACTTCCTTTCTTAGTTTTAGCTTATATCGATACATATTGCAATAGGTGTTACCACCTAGCTAAATTTGCATATGAAATCCACCATATAGTTTTTCCATGCTTGTATTTTTTCTCGTTTGCCAGATCGCTCCTTGGAGGAGCACCTCATTGTAACATCATTACTCTTTTAATAAAGATTGTTAACCTTAAAACCGAAGCTCACTATCTACCATAATCTTGTAGGGTCCATCTCAAGGGCTTCTATAAATGGTGGCAGGGGTGGATTCGTTGCCTGCCTAGCTGCTGAATTCTGACAGAGCAAGTCACACCACTCTCAGCACTTGCTGATGACCTCTCAACACTGTTGAGGAGTCATCTTTTGCTACTAATGTTGTGCAGACATCTGAAGGAACCCTAGTTGGACCGCAGATCACTCGGACCAGCCTAAACACCTCTACACCGAGCCGAGTTCCTTGTCATGCAGATGCGTCTACGCATTCACGTTCATGCAATAAACAACACCATTCCTCTGATCTTTCTCGCGACAAACTTACTTGCCACGCAGCGCGCCCTCAGATCCCTTCGTTTGCCCTGCCTCTCTCCAGCCCCTCCTTCCCTCACACCCAAAACCCAGTTGTGCTTTGAAATTATTTTCTTGAATTTTACGATGAGTTGTTATAGATATTCATCATCAGTAAATGGGTGGCCGCCTGAAAATAATTTGCCTTTCACGCTGCCGCTCATGCGTATCCTTTTCCGCGTCGGCGGGAATCTTACTTGTCACATACGTATCTTCACACACGCATAAAACATTGCATATATGCATGGACATCGCTTTACCTAAAACATTGCATATATGCATGGACATCGCTTTACCTAAAACATTGCTATAATGGACATCGCTTTACCTAAACATTGCATATATGCATGATGGCACATACGTATCTTCACACACGCATAAACATTGCATATATGCATGGACATCGCTTTACCTAAAACATTGCATATATGCATGGACATCGCTTTACCTAAAACATTGCATATATGCATGGGCATCGCTTTACCTATATAGTCATCTATTCTCTCTACACTAGACATTCTAATGCATTATGTATCCCCTTCTGCTAGAGCAATGTATTGTTATAACCCCGATTGTCACATGCTGGATAAGTACCTTATA